TATATATATATATAGACACACACACACACAAGCTGACAACTCCGATATTTAATTTAAAAAAACCAAAAATATCAGTAAGATTTTTTTGATTAGCTAAGCTTTGTTGATGGATTGATTTAGTATGGTTGTCGATCCGCTATCCTTGGGTAAAAATTTATTATCGGTTGAGCCAGACTAAACAATTAGATAAAGGATGAATCATCGTAACATGATTTGTAGCTCGTTCCTCAATAAAGAGAGCTTGTGAGATGATTATAAGTCTCTGTCGTATTGTCGATTCTTGATTCGTAATGAGGAGCCTCAGTGACTTTTGCGACATAACTGACGATTTTAAAGAACTGAGTTTTCCTCAAGATGGATTTTTCAGAAGGTAGATTGCTTGTCTTTAGTCATTTTCTATATAATGTTTAACTCAAATGCTTATTTGTCTTATTTTAATTTGATTGGTCATCATTTTATCATTGATCTACCATCGACTTTGCCTCAGATGACTACGTCTGGTTGGCCTTTAGTCTTGGTTTGAATGACTGCATCTGATCGAAAAAATGCATCACTTGATCCTCTATTAGTGGGCTCTCATCTGTCGCACTTCCTCTCTTTTTGACCGTTTGAATCCCTCTGGATCCGCACTCACTTTTTTGATGTACAAAAGATATGGATATTTGACTTCTATTTTATTTGTAAGAAAATTAATTATTATTAAATAACTTTGTTAAATTATATTATAGAAATTAAATGAACAATAACATAAAAAGTTATTTAATATTTTACCCACCTCATAAAACAATTATTATAATAATTAATCTGTTTATTAATTATTCTGAGCACAGATTAGTTTATATGAACTATCGTCAGCTGCAAGTGAAAGAGGATCTCCAGCCGTAGGTGCAAGATCTGACGGTTAAGGCCATTGGAATCAATTTGCGAGGTCACCTCCAAAGCAGAGACACGTGGCTTCTTTTAATAGGGTTTAAGACAGACGACAGGATGCATAGTTAGCGATTCAATCCCGGCCGTCCAGCACCCGGTTCGCGCCTTCCTCGATATATTAAGCAGCGCATTTTTTCATTCCCGCCGTTCCTGCACCGCCGCCGCCCAATCTATTCTCCTGCTTGCTCCCGTGTTCGCGCATTGGTTTTTAAGGTATTCAAATCTCCGTCCCTCTCCGTATGCCTTCGAAGGTCTACCATAGCAAGGCAACTTTTCTTTGAAGTTATTGATGGAGTTAGGGTTTTAGTCTCTCTGCACTGAACTTAGCTCGATGAGTGATTGATATTTATTGGCATTTCTTCTATTCTGCATGCATGTATTTCCAATAATTTCTGGCTTGGCATCCGATCTATATATTCCCTTATTTGATTTCTGCGTTTAATTATTGTAGTATTTTTTTTTTTGTTTGTTTGCTTGATTCGAAGACATGGCTTTCTGTTTACTGGTTTTTTAGAGCTTCAAACGCACTGAAATGAAAGATTTTTAAACTTGACTTATTTTGTTGGCAAAATAGTCATTACGAATCCTCAGCTGAAATCATCAAAGTTGAGGATTTTCTTTAAGCTATAAGCTAGCTGGAAACGTTATTTTAAAATCAATTTAGGGAATGCAATGTTGAATTTTCCTGTGCTATTTTTTTCTTTAGAAGTGATGCTCCACAATCGAACACAGCTATGGTGAAAAAATAGGCTGGATTTTCCTGAGTTGTTACAGTCAATTGAGATGATGTACTACACATTAATCAGATAGGGGTTATAAATCGGTGTGGGTTGGCTAGGATGTCATGTGCAGGTGGCGCTCCTGAATTTATCCCAATTGTGATGAAATATATTTGATCCTGGATTATGTATAAGATTAGTACTAGATTTGTTGTATTAAATTTGTGGCTTTAAATGGGTTGACCGTACAATTTTTAGTCACTATGATTAGATAAAGAAATAATCATCATTTATGCACCAAAAAATAATATGAAAAGGACAAATTTTAGACATTTTTGGAGGTTCTTAGTTACCATTTGCTGAAAAGATAAAACAGAGAACTAGTGATAGATGTGGATATAGAGTAGAAAAGAAAAATTGTTGTTATAAATATAATTAGTGTTGATAATTATTAAACTATTGTTCATAATTATTAGTTATAAAAAGATAGTTGTCTTAGGATAACTTAACTTTTCAATATGTCTATTTTAAGAGGTGAATTTATTTTATATTTAAATTAAACTTGAGGTTGGATTATTAGGCTAGTTCTTTTAAGAAAATTATCATGAAAGTTTCAAAAGAGTTAACAAATATTTTGGATATTTGAAAAACTATTTATTGATCTAGGATAAGCCCGCATTAATAATAGTATGATCTTTAACTATGTTTGATTTGGGATTATGGAGAATGAGTTTGCGAATCCTGTTGGTTCAATTGTAGAGTCGAAAGGGAGCTTTGTGTATATGCTCTAGGTATTAGTGTTTTGAGTGGCCTTGATCTATAAACACTTATAGGATTGCCATGGCTATGAGGGCAGCTTGGTTTACTGTATGTGTCCATATGGAAAAACTTAAATAGATCCTTGAAAGTTTTGTGATGCTTATTCTACTTATTATGGTAATGCTAAAAGTGATTGATATTATCTCTATCATTTATGACAATGATATCTGCCGGATATTTTGTGATTATTTTTGGTTTGCATTATATTTGCTTCATTTTCAAGTTAATATCTCGGAAGATTCACATACATTCCACTAAATTCTCATGTATTTACATATCTAACATCAAAACTTCAATTTTTACTTACATACCTCATCTATTCATGAAAAATTGTATTTCACTTTATAATAGGTAAAACTGTGGTATTTTTGATGCGCTATGCAAGATTTGAGTGGTATAAATGTAACAAGTAAAGTTCAGGTGTTAGATATGTAAATATATAAGAATTAGGTGGCATCTATGTACATGTCCCTCATATCAAATGGTGTTTGGAACTGCTAACGTTTTGAGTGGATGCAAGTTGAATTCAGGGTTCTGCCTTATCTGTACAACTTAAGGACTTCAAAGCGTTAAGAAGGATACAGTTTTTTGAGAGAGAGCCCTATATTTGGATGCTGTAAATATGTCTAGAATAATTAATGACAAGATGGACCCCCATTCTCTAAAATCCTCCTGCCTGGGGGATGCATCTGTTGTTGAAGAAAACAGATCCTCCAAATCCTCCTCCTTGGAGAGCAACCAATGCTGTAATGATGATATCCAGCCATCAGAACCAGTCATCAATAAATCCTCAGATCAAACTAAAGACAATGAAATGACTCTGCTTTGCCAGACTCCAGCTGAAAGCAAATTTGATCCATTTGCTCCCGGCCCAGATGAATTGATGCTTGCGCCGAAGAAGATGAAGAGCTCCTACCCGCCGCTTCAGCGTCTACTGAGCCGTGATCTTATCATTAATTCTGAAGAAATTGCAGGAACTGATTTAACGGAGGATCCCAATGCTGAGGAGTGCTTTTTGGAGCTCATTTTCACTTCATTGCTTGAACTGATCATTTCAACTAAGCTTATGGAGATTTCTGTTAACAACCGAGCAGCAGAATCTGATAAAATTGAAGAATGTAAGACGCCTACATCTTTACCTTTCCTGACAGGTTTTGCAGAGACATGCCCGCCTGCTCCTAGGAGACCTACATTGTTTTCAAAGAGATTTGATCATAGTATTTGTCGAAAGCTGGATTTTGAAAGTTGCTTGAATTGAATACTAAAGCTTCTGTCATGGAGAACTTGGGTTTCCGCTTAACCATGTAAGCTTTTTTTGTGGATGCTTTCTGGAGGCCTAATCAAAGTTACAGTTTTAATGTGAAGTGTTTCTGAAGTTTTGGGAGAGGGAACTGAAAATGCCCATGAAGTACTAATATGTAGCTGGTGATTACATTATTGGCAAAAATGGGGCTCTTTTTTTTTTATGAAGTTCTGACTACTTATTGAATTTATGTAAATATGTAAGCGCTTGTAAGACTTCTATTTATATGTATAAATATGGGTACTCATGATTTGTATTGTAGCCAATGTTTGTATTTTGAAGACAATTCTGCCCTCATCGTCAGGTTTTCAGATTGTTATCTTGGAGAAAAGTAATTTTGTTGTTGTATGTAGTATTAAAGTTTTATTTTAAATTATTTGATATCATGTGTATTAAAAAAATATTGCCCGTTTTTTCTGGGGCAAGTTTTTTATTATAAGGATTTAAGACTTGTCTATGTATGGCTGTCAAAATGGCTCGTTGTTCACGAACAGCTCGTGTTCGGTTCGTTAATTTCGTTCGATAACTTAACGAGCCAAACACGAACTAAGATGTGTTCGTTCGTGTTCGGCTCGTTTTGGCTCGAATATATATATATATATATATATATATATATATATATACATAGATTTATAATCAATTAAAATTATTAATTAAAAAAATAGAGTAAAAAATATTAAATTAGATTCAAATAATACTTTAAATCTTGCCGTAATCCTTAACATTTTATGGCTACGTGATTAGGGTTATCAAAACGACTCTTTGTTTGTGAAAGGCTCGTGTTCGGCTCGCTAAGCAAAAGAGTCGAACACGAACACACTTTTTGAGCTCGAAATATAAA